TAAATTTAAACTTGCCGATTTGATTTTGTTATATTTTTGTGTGGCAATTCCTGGTTCCTTAGTCTAGATAGAATCTTCAACCAACTAGTCAGTTTTGGGAAAAATGATACCCTATTATAGACCCAAATGCTCTGATTTATATACCCTATCCTACAGTAAACTGCTTGAAAACCATACCCCTCACAGCGGCACATACCTATATAGCCCATATATGGCAGTGCCAGTGCCCCCCCCCCCCGGGGGGGCGGGTTCCTTTCGAAATAGCGGCTGTTAATCGTGCCTATTTCGTTTTAAGTGGTATCTTTTAGCGGTCAAATAAAGCCCGAGCCACACCCAGATTTACATAAGGGAGTAACGGTCAAAAAATTTACGTGGGAATGAAAACCAATAGTTTGACCAGACAGTGATAACGTGAACTAAACCTAAAATGCATTTTGCGATCAAGCTTACAAGCCAAACAGACATGAGAAGAATAGTTAGCTAGTACAGTAAGCCTTGCATGGACAGTTTCACAAAAGAGATAAGCGATACCTTACCATGGACGTTGAACGTTATGTTATATATTTGTCTTTGCCGGTTTTAAGTCATATCATTGATGTGAAAAAAGTAAATGGAGGTATGGGGGACAATCAAGCCGCATGTTCAGATGTCAACACAGAGTTCGCTATTTTTAGCTGTCAAAGTATTTTTTAGGCCGCCGTTCTCTCGAGTCTGGTGTACTAGCGCGGTCTCCCTTCTTGAACAGCGGCTGGTAATCAAGCCTATTTAATTTTAACTGGTTTCTTTAGGGGTCAAATGAAACTAGACCCAAGCCCAGATTGGTTTCCTTCCATGGTTTAATTTAAATTTTTCCATCGAGCATCCCCGACCTTTTCATATCGGAATTTCCCCCCGGGGGGATAACTCACAACCTCTCGGAAAAGAAAGCGTCAAGGCCACATACTCTTAGCCTCGTAGGACGTAGGCACTCGTTGGCATCCTACTGACCCTACCGTTAGGAGAAAACAATATTGCCGATAATCCCAGCGGGATCAAAGATTTCCTTCGTACTCCAGGTTGTCCAGTTTCCTACTTTCCATCATTTCAAGTTTAACCGTAAAATTTAAAAAGTCACGAACCTCGAAAGTAGCGATAACAGACCAGTTTGTGATTAATTCTATCATTTTGAAAAGAAGAAACTACGACAAAGACATAATTTTCTTCCAGACAGTGGCCCAGCTATACAGCCGATACAAAGACATGTGAAGTGAAACGCCACTGCAATCCCAAGCTATCGGGTTTAAATTCCACGAATAAAATCATTAGATGGTAGCAAACTCACGTGCGATTCATGCTCGAATTTTTTTTCTGGTGACCTAAATCATTTACCGTAACTTATAGGCCTGTCTCGATTGTGCTCGACAACTTTTGAGCAACTTTTGGCGTTTGCCGGGAGCAACTTTTTGCGGTTTTAGCAAGTTCGAACAAGTTTTGCAAAATATATGGGTTTAGAGCACATATAAAGTACCACGAAAAAAACAACGATTTCATAGAAAACTTCAATTTACGCGGATTTATCGAGTGTTTACAGGAGCCCATCACTTTATCAACCTTTGTTCCGTTAGACTCAAGAGTATCCTTAAATTTCGTCCATATTCGCGAGCAACCCTTCAAAGCAGAAAGTTTCAAGCTATTTTTTGACCGATGTTTGCAATTATTGCAAAGAAAGAAAAATAAAGCTTTTAATTGACGTTTATATAAGAAATTTAGGCCTGGATTTTTGGCAATTTCTTAGCAACTTTAGGGCATTCCAGTGAGCAACTTTCCAGATTTTACGAGCACAATCGGGACAGGCCTAGTGACTTAGAACGCTAGAAATTTGTCTGTGTCTGCAGAATATAATAAAATAACATGGAAACACGATGTAAATTACTGCAGCAGGTTTTTTCATCTTTAAAATATTTTAAAACGCGTGTGACGAAACTAAGTACATTTTGACACATTGCATGCCTACATGTACAGCATAAACTGGTCAGGATGCCAAGGCAGAAGGCTCGGTTACACATTAGACAGTTACAAAATGGAGGCCAGTGATCTTGTCAGGTACGTGTGTCTTCTTGCAATAAAAGTCTTTTGATGCAGTTAGTTTGTAACAACACGTGTATAATTCATAGGGAGGGCAATGAAGCTTTTGTTGACGACGACTACGAGCTCGCCGTTAAGGTAGGTACAAGTTGATGCTCCTAAATTCTACGAAATGATGTGCAAAGCGAAATATTCCAGTTTATGGTGATTCTGCTAATTAAATCCAACGATTTCTATTCTTGTGCGAAAAGTAGGTTTATTTTGCACATATGCTGCTCTGGGAATACTTATGAAATCGATGCTTTAGTTTGCATACACATGTTATGTATTACCTTCATTTACAAGGCATGTAGAGAGCGAGATGCAGATCGCATGCTAATTAATTAATCAGCATTGTTTGCTAATTAACATAAGCTTAATCACTAAAAATCAATTGATTGATGTTGGCTTATTCATTTGTAGGCAAGGTGATGTAATTGTTAGCGAGATTCAGAGTTAGATCTTCCCTCGCAATCATTCGCCATGCAGTTGTATAAATGGATACTGAAATAAATTTATGCTGACAGATAACCCACTAACATCCCATCAAGGGGGGAGTATAAATACTCCAAAACACTTAAACAGAAACAGGGATAAGCCTTTGTAAAAAGGGGCAGTTTTGCCTCACACAGACTTGAGTTAAATTGATAGATTTAGTCAATCAATGAAAACTGATACTCACAAAGACTTGTAGTGAGTTAAGAGTAAGAGTAACCTTAGCTGGGGTGGCGAGGGTCACGGGTAGGGGGAAGGGTGATGAGGGGGATAGGGTGGGCAAAAGGGTGATGATTTTAGCCATCATGTTATGTGGGACATTGCTAAAAGCAGCCAGATCTTGATCTTACTTTGCAGAAATATTCAGATGCCATAGAACTGAATGCATACGATGCTGAGTTCTATTTGAAAAGAGCAGCAGCTTTTATGAAGATTACAAATTATCAAGGTAATCAGTGGACACAATTTTTCAATGGAATGAAATATTTCAAGTGCAACAAATTAATTATTGAAATTTGAATCATTTTTCTTTCTTATATCACAAACAGCTGCTGCAGCGGATGCCTCCTCAGCAGCCAGTTTAGAGCCTGAAAATTGTAAGGCACATACGAGAAAAGGGTAAGAAAAACTCAGTAGTGTTGCTGTAAGAATTGCAAGCCCATGTTATGTTCTGGTTGGTTAGCTACATTGGCTGAGAAGTAAACATTTGTATTGTTGAAAATATAAGACACTGGAAGCGTAACATACCAAACATCACTGAAAGACACTGGAAGCGTGGCATAGCAAACTGACTCTCAATGCAGAAAACAATTCATGTCCACTACCTGGACAATATAACATTCTTTTTTTCATAATTTGCATTTTTGAAATTTTGCAATTCCATTCATGTTTACTGAAATTTTTTCTGTTTCTTTGTTTCTTGTCATTCACATTTGAGCGATCGAAGACTGTAGTTCAGGCAATCGAAAACTTCTAATTTTTTAATCGTTTCGGCCAGAGATCGTTTTAAATTTTTACCATTTCTCTTGATTTGTATTGTTGTTTGGCAAAGTTATAAAACTACATCACAACTGTAACAACTCCATTTCAAGAACATGTATTCATAATAATATAAAATAATTGTAGCAATTATTTTTAATAATATTTGCTATGTCTCCTATTAATTCACAGAGTGGCTCTTTTTAACTTGAAGAATTTTGTAGCAGCAAAAGAGGCATTTTCAGATGCATTAAAACTTGACAGTAAGCAAAACACAATATTTAATTAGTTCTATTTTGAGGAAGAGGGAATTACCTTGGTGTTAATAAATTCTTCTGCCTCACGGTTTGCTTGTTATGATGCCAAGGTGGCCAATAAGGATTAAAAATCTTTATATTCCTGTTATATGCCTTTCTCTTGCAGGAGAAAACAAAGAATTACAGATGTGGATAGGAAAGTGTGATGCTGAGCTAGATTGTGAGTTTTTAGTGAGGACTTCATTAACAAGTATCTTCCTCAGCCTGCTGGTAGCACTAAGGATACTGTATGGGTTCATGGGTTTGTTGCACAATAATGTTGTTATCACTAAATGTGATCAAATGATAAAACAATTATTGAACTCGGTTATCACAAAATATTGTGATTTGTCAGTGTCTCAGTGGCTTTTAAATTTATTCAGGAAAAGTACTAATAATGATTTCTTATACTTATTATTCACTAGTGGCAACAAATGAAGCAAAACTTGGAGCAAATTCAACTGAAACGGTATGGCTGAAATTATCGGTAGATTGTTAGCCATGATTAATATTATGCACATGTAGGTTGCTACTTATATTTCCATGTCATGTTTTTGGTGATAAAGTGATAAACCAGTTGTGATTTTCCTTTGTGCAATTTAAGAACCATTTAATTTGAAACAAATAACTACAGTCAACTCCTGATAACTCAAACATTCAAGGTAAATTGAAAAATTGCTTTGAGTTAGTGTGAGGTTCGAGTTATTGAGGGTTTGAGTTTCCAATGGTAAAATTACAGTAAATGCATATCAGAAGTCCAGGGGAAATTAATTTGGGTTTGAGTTAGCACCAGAAACCAGAAAGAAGGTGTTTTAAAACATATTTGGGAATGTGGTACTGTAAGTGACATTCAAGGCACTCTAGCTTTCATTGTGAATTTCTTAACAGTGTAACTGTTTTACATTCCGGTAGGTTGTGGTTGGTATTGCAAGTGGAGATGAGAGTGCCAAGGCAGCATGTAAAGCTAATGGCCAGACCCCAGTTAACGAGGCAGCTGGCAATGCTGCTGACTCATCATCTGTTAACAATCTGTCTCCCTCTGTTTCTACTGTTGCTGATCCGTCTAATCAGGAACAACTTCAGGCTAAACCACTAGCTCCAAAACCACGGTAAAGCCATTGATGATAGTGATTCACATAGTTGGTAGAGTTCTAAAGACTACAGTTGTGAAGCATCTGGATGCTGGGCAGGACTTTTTCTTGGGTATTTTTTTTTTCAGAAGGAAGTGGGCTAGCTTACTTTTGGACAGAGTTTAAAAAGTACCCAAAAAGTTTGAAGTGCAAGATAACTTGTCTTTCTGTCTCACATTACTGTGTCAAGATACTGCTTTTTTCCCCTAAGAATACAGCAGAAATCTAGCAGTACCTTGACATACTATAGTACTTAACATGAAATAGTTCTAAAGACAAGTTAATTGAAACTACAATTATGGGAATTCCTTATAATTTTAAACTCAATAATTATTACATTTTATCTCCACTGAGTTCAATGACTGCAGCAAAGGTTAATTTATTTAATAATTTCTTCCACTCTTTCTTCCTTTTTTTGTGACTGTGTTATTGTTTTTAAGAATCAGTCTGTTCATCTCTCTGTCAGTCGGTCCTCGATCTACATGTATCTGTCTGTCTGTCTGTCTACCTGCCTGACTGTATGTCTTTCTGTCTGTCTAATCCACCAATCAATCAATGACAATGTTATATTTGTTGTTACAGGTATGATTGGTACCAAACAGAAACCCATGTTATTGTAACATTAATGATCAAGAATACAAAAAAAGAGAGTGTCAATGTGGAATATGGTGACAAAACAGTAAGTTACCACTGAGAGTGCAAATGAAATAAAGAACAAATGAAGATGTGACCATTGCAATTGTATAGTCACAATCTTTTAGCATTTATCATTCATTCTACGATATAAGACTTAGTACATGTACAAACTGTAGCCTGCAAGAGCATCTGGGTTTTTCAGGGACGGAAAAATCAGGTAGCTTGCTCTTGCATGTTATACAAACTGCAGTGTTAAGCTATTAGAATGTAAATGCCATTTTTCTTTAGGTGGTTACAGTCTGTTTTGCAACTTATTTAAGAGACATTTATTAACCAAACTCTAATCAATGCTAATTGCTGATGAATATTTACAGAAAGACGATCAATGTACAAAGTTGATCAATGTGTGGTTGTTTGACTTTAGTTGAGTGCTACAGTGAAGCTTCCAAGTGGTAGTGACTTCAGCTTAGAGCTTGACCTTGCTCATGATATCGTTCCTGTGCAGTGTAAAACAAAACTCATGTCTACAAAGGTAAATACCCTGTGATATACCCAAGTATACCTCTCTGGCACTTGATCAAAATAAAGTTTTTCTATACCACATTCAGACATTTTCAAGCAAACAAGTCTTGAGAGTAAATAAATTCATCAATTAAAGAATGTTAGAAGTACATGCTAGAGGCCTAAAAAGCCTTATGTAAAACCAAGGGTAAATAAAAATAATAACCATCAATGACTTGCAACTAATACTGAAGAATTCAAATGAAAAAGACATGGAAGCTATGTTCGATGGTACACAAAAAAGATGCATATTAGAAATATCTTTTCAATGGCACACGAAAAAGAAAACTAGGAGCAAAATTTATTGATCTATTGACCACCAAACCAAACCACCAAACAGAAGTGATTATATGGCCATCGCTTAATTCAGGTTTGGTCAAACTTCCAGGTTGAATTGAAGATGAAAAAGGCCGAAGAAATACGATGGTCATCTCTGGAAGCAGATAATGAAATTGCAGTTAAACCATTTCAAACAAAAGGTAGGAACATTTAGTATCTATTGTTTGCCTAGTGTGATGATCCAGGTGAATGATAACAGAGGATTAATTTTGGAAACCTCCATGTACTTTTTTATCATCATCATCATCATCATCGTCATCATCATCATCAGGGCTGTGCTCTAGAAACATCTGGATGCCACAGGCGACTAACTTTTGCCTTTAGGTGATCGGAAAAACTGACTTTTTGGGTGCTGGGCACACAGGATGTCATGGTTAGGAACCTTTGGGCTCCTCATAATATTTTTCTTAGACCACAGCCTTGGATTCATTATCCCTGTGTTAAACCCTAGAGAGAAGAGATCACTGGTGGCTCATTATGCTAGCACTGTAAAACTCTGTTTTGTTGTACAGTGTAGTACCATGAAGTGACTTAGGGTAGACTGTTGTAGGAAAGAGCTTGATTAATCTTGCCCAAGAACACAACACAACATGTTAGTCGAAGGCTTTCACCCAGCCTCTCAATCTGGACTCAACTCTGGATGGTGACCCCAGCTCTTGGGCAC